CTAATAGAATCGACTACCCAAGGAATGTGACTTCCAGATAACAACGAGCCTAATAGAATCGACTACCCAAGGAATGCGACTTCCAGATAACAACAATTCTAATAGAATCGACTACCCAAGGAATGTGACTTCCAGATAACAACGAGCCTAATAGAATCGACTACCCAAGGAATGCGACTTCCAGATAACAACAATTCTAATAGAATTGACTACCCAAGGAATGTGACTTCCAGATAACAACAATTCTAATAGAATCGACTACCCAAGGAAGAAGAAATAGAACTAGCATAAATGTCAGTGGCCGGACTCTTTCAAATCAAGAATTTTTATCATCAATTGTACTCTGTGTTGTTGCATTTCATGATATGCCCACGTAAATTGGTGATTGGCTGAAGGCCCAATGGCAATRAAATCTTGTGCAGATTTTATGACACCTATTCCACAACTGCCAGCGCCATGACCAGTTCTTGCAGTCATCTGTGTAGTTTGACTAGGCATACCAAAGCGCTGAAAACAATCCACACAATTCGATGTTAACAATTCGATCTAGCCACTGCACTTCTGCAATGACATCAGCCCTCATTCTTGCCAGAGTACAGAAATTCCTCAACACTGACAATCCACTATCGTCAAAGCAGCCAATTGACCCTATTTGAACTCCAATTACTGTTTGTGATGTCTTCTTTTTTGACTTGGTTAAACAGCTTTCTGCCTTGGATAGTAGGCTTGAGCATGGTCTCTTATCAATAAGTGTTGGATCTGCAGGGACAATGTTCTGGTATACCAGCTTAACATCTGCATATTTGACATTTGTGGCAATGGCTGGTATTGATGTTGATGCTTGTTCCAGTCTTGATAATCTATAGATTGGGTTCTGAAATGCCACACTGGACTGAAGAGGGAGACTTGGCCTTATTTTTAGGTAGTTGAACTGTGTACTGACCATAGAAACAGGAGAATCTTCTAGTGCAACCATACTCTCATTATCATTCTCATCATCCTCATCATAATCATCCTCACTGTTATCATTATCATCTTCATCATAATCATCCTTATCACTTATGAGTTGAGTGCAATTARGAACATCCAAAATGTCCACTTGATCTAGGATGCTGTCTTCACTATCACTATCCAAAATAGTGATGCCATCTAAATCATCCGAGTTGTTGTTTAACAAGTTGCTGTCAATGCTGTCACTGTCACTATCGGTATCAGAGTCATCTCTGTTATTACCGTTGTCAGAGTCAGCAGCTACCAGTTGCTCAGAACCTGGGAGAAGGTTAAGTAGTTTGACAACGGGTGATAAGGGGATCTGTACAGTGCTCTTCTTTCTCTCATAATTTTCTTCCCATTCATCGTGGTTATAGACTTTACATGCTGGCTCTGAGTCTTGGGAGATCTGAGTTCCCTTAGACTTATCATAGATGTATTCCAGASTATCATTTCCAAACACATCAGTAAATAGCTCATTGAGGACATAGATCAGTACCTTATCTTCAATGGTCCAGTTTGCTATTGGATACATTTTGGATCCCCATCCACAGCCTCTATATTTGAAATGTGAACTACCTATAAGGCAGTACAAATAATGATGGACTTATGGGAAACAATACAAATTCAGATTTCTTTTTTGAGAGCATCTCATTGCATTTATATATGTGAAACATTTTGTATAAAAAATTAATTGTTTTGGTTCACTTATAAAACATTGTGCACTCATTTATTTAAACAATTTTGTTATAGTCCACCTACCACTTTCAATGCATTCTTTAGCCTGGCAAAACCGATACCGGAGGTCCAGAAGTTTATCAGAAAACCAGTGAGTCAGGATTTGCTGAACTGTAAAATAATAACTATATCAGTAAAATCACATATCACCTATATAGATAGCTATATTAATATAGGCTTATTTGCTTATTTCCTTCAGCCATAACATGTCATGATTTGACGCAATAAGTGTGATACTAGTTAGAGTAACTTTCAAATTTACATTCAAACCAGTTTTTATTTAAAGTATACTTTAAAAGTCATCAGTAATCAATAAAATCAGATTGAACCTATCTGCATGTGTTAATAGAAAAAATAATCAAAAGCCCATTATATCGTTGTATTATCTTACGTGATTGTCCCTTTTCTTTCATGTCATGATTTGTTGCTCGGGAATACAACATTCGATGTAATTTATGCGAGGCTTCAAAACCTTGGTTGGAGAACAACCGAAAAGACCTGTGCATACGAAATAGCATACCACTGTGATCTACAGTCAGGTGCCCATAATCTCCGCTGCCTAATGTCAATCCAAACATTTGACGAAGAAGGCGTCCCCAGAGTTGACACTAAAAATTAACATTGCAAAAAATACTTGTTAATGAATTTTTGAGCACTCTGATAGCAAATTATCATATATTAGCAGCCAGGCTTTATAAAAGAGTATTTATATAAGTCATATTGACCATAAATAATATACCTTTACTTCATGCACATCAATACTTTCTTTTTCACCATTTCCAAACACTTTGGACCTAATTACCAGGGAAATTGCTCTCCACTCTGTAAAGACCTGTATTGCCAAATAGAGTTGATTAGATTAAGTCACATGAAGTCACCTATTACTATTTTTTACTTGAGGTACTTCCATTATCAATAAACACACACAGCAAATGACCCCTCTATATAATAAACAAGTAATGAATTTAAATCCAAAGCAATGSTAAAAAATAATATAAAATAATTGTAAGAATATATTTTGTAACTTGCTTTCATGAAATGTTGAATTTGCAGATTAGCTGCCATAATAGCCATTGATAACTTTCTAGGATTCTCTGCAGGGGTTTTCTTCTCTTTGCCTTTTTTTGCTCTTTTTGTGGCTTTTGAAGGTTCTGATGATTGATCACATTGCTGCAGATAATTCTTTTCAATCTCCTTCTGTGTTGATGTCATTTCTTCCAATTTCTTCTCTATGAAGGTTTTAAGGACTGAGGAGCAAAATAATAACATAAAAGTACTGTTCTTACATATTGCATACACACACCCTTTTAATTACATGATTTTTTTAAATTTAAATGACAGTTTACTAATTATAACAAAGTGTTATAACCCTGCAGTACTTACAGCTAGTTTTAGAAAGTTTCACTTTTTCAGATCTTGTGCCAAACTCTCTTAAGTAATGTTTGCTTCTGAGAATACCATCAAGAAACTGAAAMATTAATAATAAAGAAAAATGTCAGTAGTACAGTATTATATTAATTTCACCTTTTTGGCTATCAAAAATATAATTTAAGAATTGAGTTAAGCTTTTAACTATTTATACTACAGTAAATCCTTTTAATATTAAAAAGCTTCAGCAAATAAATCATTTTCACTTTTTTGCCAGCAACCAATTTTTCCCTTTTATGTTTGTGTCAAATGGCTAATACATGTAAATTATTCTGTGCCAGTAAGAAATACCGGTATTACAATTAATGGGTTATTAAGTTTGTTCTGTTATGTGGCATACCAACTTTTGGCTCTCATAAAATTTTATGAAGGACAGGATGGTATCTTCTGCACTATGGTCAAACTGATTATAGTACTTTGTTACGCTGCTTGTAGGAAGAGATGGAGCCAATATGGATTCAATATTTGATAGGACTTCCCTTTCTGTTGCTCCTTTAAATATAACAACCAAAACATACTATCATAATGGGGTTTATAAACAAACAATATTACAAAGTAAGTGAAACCTTATACTTATTAATATCTATTTCATGAACACTCTGTGATAACAGACCCATTGCCCCAATGAAAATCTGTTCAGAGACTATTGTGCTTCATAACTTTTAAAACCAAATCATTTTTAAATCAGTTCATATACAGCTGTTTGCAATAATTCTGACCCCCCTACACTAATATTCATATATATCAAAGTAGCCTTAGAAATTATGGGATACCAATGCTGATATTTTTTTTAGAAAGTACTCATTCTGGACAACTCAGAAAATATATCAGTCATGATATCCCATAATATTAAAAGTCAGTTTGATATATATGAAATATGGCAGAGGGGGTCAGAATTATTGCAAACAGCTGTAT